AAGTCCAAATGAAATACCGATAATAACATGGCCGATATGGATTGCCTTGTATAAATAGCATGTACACTGATATAAAAGACGCACCAACTGATAAAGTAGATGGGTTAAGTTTTAAGTTTGGTTGTATGACCCACGATTCAATTATTCTGAGTCAAAATATGATGAAATATAAAATGTAAAAATCACGAACGTTTTATTCATTGTCGTCACAATGTATGTAGTAACAATCAATTGTTGTTACTTTGACCTGCATTATATAACCCGCCAAACAAGTATACTCCTGACAAAAAAGTATATAGATGTGGTAGTTAATCTCTATTGAAGGTCGGTTAGACTAAAGTTCAAATCTCATACAGACAAATGACAAACTACAACTGAGAAATAGATATTATCCTTCATTTTCTTTGAATTATGGTATTGGGTGATAATATTATAAATTAGTTCTATAATCTTAATTGATTCGACATTGTGGATGTGCATTAGTTCAAGATAATATTTAATGAAATTATTTTAAAGTAAATACAACTCAGTATGACTTGTTTTTCCATCGTAATGAGGAAATAAATTAGACAATTGGACATACTGGATATATCTAGTCACTTGTGTATTGCATGTAATCAAGGTAACAACACACTGGTTTACTATGACATGGGTCACTGAACTAATTTGAATATTGCGATTAGCAAAAACGTTGTACTATGATCTCAGGGGTCAATAAAGTCTTGTTTGCACTGGATGCTTGTTGTTTATACTGATCGTCATTGGTGGCGCTACATATGACAACAATGCCTTGACATTTGTAATATAATGAAGATATATTAACATTGTGTTCCATGTGGAAAACATCCGAACGACTGAAGTTCGTTATTAAGTAAATAACTATTTGTAAAAAAATCTAAATATTTTTAAACACATATATTAAGGACATGTACATCATTGGCAATGTGGCATTTGGCATCTGATATTAAATTTTTGTTATTGTTTATTTTACAGTTTTTAAAAACAAATGTCAACTTTGCCTTGAGTTTGACTATAACGTTATCAACTATGTCACTCGCATTCATTAGCATGCCATTGTTATCTACATAATAATTTATGGCATGTAGCAGGCCATTTCAAATCAGAAGACTGGAAGCTTTCATTTTTGACATAGTGGCGTTTTCCATGCCAACAATTAAATATGTTATGAGAAATTTAAATGTTCCGTTTTTCACTATATAATCACATTTTCGGATACTATTTTAATGTAATTTAAAATAACATATATTTAGCTTATAAGCCAATGATATCAGGTCGTTTAAAATAATTTGTATGTACGGTGAATATTTGAGGAATATTAAAAAAGATTGATTCAACACTGCGAAAAATATGTCGGCAGTAGGTATGTGTTAATGTATTTGTGGGAACAGAATACATCTTTAGTTCTGCAAAATCTATTCAATGTGTGCTAAATATCAGAATTGTAATTAGCTCGACTAGAATGAACGCATTAAAGTTATTGGCGAAAATATAGGTCAAACCATTCGTGTGCGTGTTTTTGGTGAATACGCTTTGCTGTAAATTAAGAGTAGATATTCAAAAAGAAAATTCAAGAATGCATATCTTACATCGATTGACATGTCTTCCCTTTGTGTGGGTGTATCTTCACAAGCACTGTATCGATTGTGCATTTACGGTCGATATCTATTGGTTATCAGATTATTTACCATTACATATACGTGACAAAAATGCTATTTTGAACTCATCTCTATTTGTGACGCCAATTGTGATTTAGGGGAAACTGTGCGAAATTAGGTCCGTTTGTGTTCAATGGTGGTATTCTTCACGGCTGGAATGTTAGCATCATTCGCCGGGTAACACGATGAGTGTTAAATATATAATATTAAAAATATTAATTTTGTATTGATGTATCTTTCACATTGGAGATGTAACATGGTCTTCACACACCAATCTTCAATATGACGGTATCATATATAAGCTAATAAAGTATGAACAGACATGTATCACATTGGATAAATGTATGACATCAATACGTCGTATACGGCAAAGGCGATGTGGCGGCTTCTGCCTATAATAATTTAAACGGTGCGGATAAGTTTTCTCAATAATGTTCAATGTAAAATGGTCAATGTAAACTTGCAGGATATTGACCTCTCTGTACTTTGACCAACTACGGTTAATACCGTATATTTGTACTTACATGTACAGACACTTCCACACTCAAAACAACATTTATAGCTTGTTATGAGTATCTCTATGAGTGTTCATAGTTGTGTATCTATCATAATATTCAGACTGTTGGTGATGCTACTTATGCTTAAAGTTAATAACATTTTAATCAATTAAATACTACGAGAACGCCATGTCTGCAATGGGAAACCTCTCAAATAGCAGAAGTGGGTCACGTGAATCTTTCAAATGAGTACAAACTATTCTCTGATAGTAGTTTTAAATCATCTATCAACAATTATCCTAGTGAAAATTATATAATTAATTGGTTTATTATATCATTAGGTTAATCATAATGTATTTATGTATGTTACTCTTTTAACACATAAGTAATTGTTTAGTGAGATACAAATAGAAAAATATGGTTAACATGATCATATTAATTAAGCAAATTAAAAATTATTAAGCAGATTCCTAATGTTATCATGCTTTATATAAATTACGTTGCGTGAGATCTATATATAATTTAATTCAAAGTAGGTCATTATTCTGGATGCCCAAGGGCACACTTATGACAAATAGTTTTTTTCACTATTTTATATATTGCCTTGAATGCTAATTTGTGGTTTAATTAACCATTTGGAATTATAAGTTTGACTATATTGGCCAATGGTTGAAGGAAATATAATTTTTTTGTACAAATTGTGCATCTAATAAACTATATTCTTCGACAGAACAAAACAAATGAAACAAATTTCGAAAACAAACAATACTAATTACAGGACAATTTATAATAAAAAAATTAAACGAGCGAAAACAAATGATATCACTGTGTAGAGCTATTTACAACGAGTATGAAATTCTATAATTCTATATATACTTTCAGAGTGTGTTTAACACGGGCGTTAGCAAAGGTATTTTCTAGTCAACAGTAATCTTTCCGGGCTTGAATATAGCGCATTAAATACATGTGTAAATATTGAATAACATTTTCATAAATATTTATAACAACCATTCATACATTGTTTATTATACATGCTTTTAATTGAAAAAATATTTATAAGCGTTTTATTAATTTCGAATGAAAATTGAAGACAACATGACCAAGCCAAATTTTTTTATAAGAAGCGGTGTGTCAACTACTGAAAAACATGATTAATTTATCAAGTTCAAATATTCATCTATGATGATGTAAGTCCATGTAGGCGAAAATTGATTGTTTTCACTTCATAGTGCCACCATTAGTGATACTAAATATTACGAAAAAATCAGCTGAATGCATTCACATTTTTATCGAACTCATCCTGGCAAATGTGTATTCTATTACTTCTGTATTCTGCATTATATTACATACTTCTGCATAAATGAAGTTGATAATTATTTGCTTTACTTGCTTTACTCTTGTTCGTACAGTGTATCCAGGTAAGACGGCACGACCAGGTGAATTTATTATATTTATTCAATTTGCTCGGAAGTCCCGATAACAGTGCTGATGGCTGTATTTAAATACACATATACATTGTATAAGCATGATGCAATGAGTAACAGATGTGTGGCAATAGTCTCCTCATAGTTGAAGAATGTTATGCGGTATAACCAAAATTATGTTTAGTTCAAATAACTCAAACAAATCCGATATTCCTGGAATGCACCTACATTAATGAACGAATTGTTCCCAAAACCTATTTTAATACATTTTTTTGTGTAGTTTTTTAAAAAACTGACCAGCCCATGATGGCAACAAGCATTCGCCGAGCAGCACATTAGTTTGTCATTGGTGACGCTCTTCGAGTCATGAATCGGTCTCCGTTGTAGGCTCGGATGAAAGACGTCGAACGGGACGTGACGCTTTCGGTCCCGTGTGTCAGTGTGTTGTATATACAAGTTGTAGGGGTCGTTAGTATCATCCTTTGCAGTGCACGCGAGTTCAACCCTTTCGCCTTCTTCCACAGATTCAGACGGTCCTTCGAGTAAGACAACGGCCAAAACTAACAAGCAATGGAACATATTGCATGACAAGATATATATGACAAAGCATATATCT